TATGTGTTCTTTAATCTTCAATAGCAACAGACATAACCTTCATCCCTTTTTTCTTCATTCTATCTCTTTCTCTTCTGAGAAATTGTCCTTTTTCCCCGGCGTTGTCTCCCCTTTTCTAGCCGCTACCCCGTCCTTTCTTTTTATAAGTGCATCAGAAGAATTCCTTTTAGGTTTAGTACTGGTACTGCTTTCTTTTCGTTCAATCTATATGCCATCTCTTTATTTCCATAATCTGCCATAGTTGTATCTTCTATTCTCGAGTTGGTTGCCTATTTCTTTCCAACTCCCAAGGCTAACTAACACCTTCATTGTGCTGGCTGTTCGCCTCTTTGTTTACTTTACTTGTTTTCCCTTTTTTACACCAACCAAACTCATTCATTCCTCGTTTTTCTTTATGGCAACGTGGTTTTATTTTCTTTTTTAGTGCTTACTTGTTGCTGCTGCCTTAACGTTAATTACGGCTGGATGAATAACCTTTTTCCCCCCTGCATTGAATACAAGTCCACTTCGTAATATTTGAGTCCAAGTTTGGTCCAAACCCCTGAGATTCCTTCTTTTGTTCTTCCTTTTGTGTTTAATCTCCCCACTTTATTGCTTGTCCCCTGGTCTAAAAGAAAACACGGTAATTAGCTAATTAAAATCAATATGATAGCTTGAAAAATACGATTAACACCTAATTATGTATTTAAAATTTGTTATACATTTTCAATCTTTTCCTAAGATTGACATATGGCGAAATCTCTTACGTGCAATGTTTTATGACATCTTTTTCACTGTGATACATGCTTTGAATGAATAAGCTAAAAGCTTTTCGCAAATAAGCTGGTAAGCTTGGGATAATTGTGAACTATCTTGTCTAAGAAAACTATGCACAAACTCAAATTGCTGGAAAGGAACTCAAGGATGCAACTGAGAAGACACTATCCAGTAAATGTATTTCTTTTACCTTATATGTCAACTTATCTATGGAACCATAACTGCTAATTTGTCAATCAGTGTACAGCAAGGACAAATAACAAGAACTATCGGACAACATTGTGCTGTTGTAATGCCAATAAGTTTGCAAAACTTAGGATGTGCTAAGATTGCCGTAGTGTACCCACTTTTGCTACAATCAAATGACGTCTATCCTATTAGTTTTGAGGTGGTTATGCTGGAAATTCTATTTCGCCAGAACAAGTCCAATACTAAACCTGGTCTTATAGTGGTTAATTATGTTTAGTTATAAAGAAGTGAGAAATTTTTGTTCTCCTTGGTGTGAGTTGCATGGTTGGCGTTGAACTCGTCTGAGCCTGTTTCCTCTTCACATTTTTAGATTTCATATGTTACTTGACCATTGCCGAATGGTGCACTCTGATTTACTCCCTCACTGTGATTGAATATCTTGGAAGATAATTAGTTGAATCAATCAATCCCCCCCCCCCCCCCCCCCCCCCTCTCTCTCTCTCTCTCATGCGTATACATTTAAACATTGAGAAAGCTGTATATATGACTAGTGAAGTGAAGCGGTCATATTTCTCATAGATCTTTAATGTGTTTATTAGAGATGGTTCCTTCCACCTGTAGAGCCATAGGATTTTATTATTTCATGTGGTTTTCATGGTTGGCTGTATTGCTCGATAGTGTTAAATATTTATCTGGTATCTTTTAGTTTTCTACAAAATCACTGTTTATTGTGCCATATGGAGTCTCTTAATTGTTCTCTCTTGTAGCTCCTTGAACCAGGAAGATACATGTGGTTGTTGAAAGCCTTGTACGGTCTCCTGATGCTCCTTCCCCAGGTATGTATTTGCTTATTTTAAAATTTGACACCAACATGCTCTGTATCACCTTGAGACTAAAGCTTGCAAAAGTTTTATGCTTCAATGATTTTTTGTTTCATGTAATGTAAAATTGGAACTGACCAGAAGTTAGTCTTCCTTCTCAACATCATTGGCTTTTTAAATAACTGTAATTCAAGTTTTTTGATTCAGTGCAAGTGAAGCAGCACTGTACTAATGTTTATATGCAATTCACTTTCCAAGTCCAAGTTACAGTTAATTCACCCAATGGATTTGACATGGGCTTTGATTTTTCTTCGCACAAATAGTTAGCTAATGATGGTGCATAGTTTAAGTTAATTGATCTACCAATTGAAGTTGAGATTATGAGAATCATTTTCTGGTTTAAGCGAAAAAGTTTCGTGCCTTCACTTGCTGATCACTTACAAGTTGAACTAGATCTTATCACGCGTTTATTGGTCTGCATGTGTTGTTGGATGTGCTTAAAAGAATTTTTTGTAAAACTCTTGCCCATGTTTGCTAGTCTGCGTGCGTTGTCGGATGCACTTGATTGATTTTTATTTTTATTTATTTATTATTATTATTTTTTTGGGTACCTTGACAATATTTAATTACTGTTCCCTTGCTACATTTTGCTCCATTCATTGCCTAGATAATGGGAAATCAAAGCATGTGGCAATTTTTATACTTTTTTGTTACAACATTCTTTTGATGCTTAAGCTATTAATACAATGCGTTAAATTGGATGCCATAGACAATCTTTGAATTTTGTTATTCTTTTAACTTGATGGCTTTATAATTTATTTTCTTATTGAATGTATGTTCTAGTTAAGATTGTTTTTAAAATCATTTTATTTGTACAGACTAGGTTGACAAACTTGGTTTACAAATTGTGTGTTGGCAATATCTAGGCTAATCATTTTAAAAACAGCTTATGAAATCAATGGCCTAAATCTTGCTAACACTTAATTTGTAAACAAACTTTGTAAAAAAAGTTAGTAGAACTAGATTAATAATTTATTTTATTTTATTATTATTATTATTTTTTGAAATAACGTTCATAGCAACAGGATTTATATGCATTGTTTGGTACTGTTAGTTTCTTTTGCCACTGATTCAGCATAGCCTTCTACATTGTCTGGACTTGATTAAAACTGTGTCTTCCTGATTTTTTTATCGTCTTAAATGTTCATGGCAACATGATTTATATGCATGGTTTGCTGCTGTTGAAACTGTTGGTTTCTTTTCCATTTGATGCAGCAAAGTGTAGCCTTCAAGTTTCTTCGGACTCGATTAAAAACTGTGCCTTCCTTCAGTGGTGAACAGTTCAAGCAAATATCATCAGGAAATTTCTTTTTGGATGCTAATTACATAGTTGGGGATGGTGAACTAAATGAAGATTCAAGGACTATTCACAACGGAATAAACTTTGCTTCGAGCCTGCTGAAGTTTGAGCATGTTCAGCAACAGCACCGTAGGCATTCGAAGATGCAGTCACAGTATCGCAACAGTTCTTCTTCATCCACAAAGGTTTGTTGTACTGAGGGATTTTAAATACTATTTGACATTTTGTTTTCTTTCATCGCTCCTGTCAATGTTTACTCACTAAATTGATCTTTATCCTACTAGTGATACACATATTACAAATTTTCACATTCAGGAGGTACAAAGACTAGAATCAGAGGGATCTTCTACCGTGCCAGACATGAATAGGGTTCCTTCAAGATCATTGCGCAGAGGTCCTGGCCAGTTACAACTTTAACTGTCTCGAGGTTCTTTACACTGCAATCTCTATGTATTGAAGGCAGGTGAAGTCAGTGAAAAATTGTAAATTGTATTTTTTAGGAGCATTTGTTTTGTTGAATCTTAAAGGGGGATTGAGAAGGTGGACAGTGGGTCTCGTTTTTTCTAAGCTATACTTTCTGATGGACAGAATATGCCCATGTGGTGGTGTTATTTTTATCGAAAACCATGTGGGAAAAAGGAGGTAGTTGAAATTCCAATCTAGGATATATGTTGACTTTGTTTCCATCATTTATTTCAAATCTTATTCCGTCTGTTACAATTATTGATAATAAAGATCACGTATTCTCCAGAGTGCTACCAATTGACTCATATTTTTCATTCTCCATCTCGAGATGTCTTAACAGTTTAGTCGAGAAGTCCATCAGGGATGTTTTTGTGTCGATTTCTAATTCTTCTTCTCGACTTTAGGCCCCTCCAAGTTGATATAGCCAGAGGTCAGAGTGCATAAATGATTTTAAAAAAATAAAATATTATTAAACAAAGATGCATGCAAAAAGTGAAAACAAAGTTTTCCACATCCTCAAAATACTGAATTTATCTTGCACATACATTGAGTTATTACTATATATTCATCGCCAATCAATGATCAGAACAAATAGATCCTCGTAACAGAAGTTCGTGCACTTTATGATATACATACTTGTACTGCATGGAATGATGAACAAGTCCATACAGAATAGATCTATGACAGTGGGATAATTGCACGTAAAATTTCACAGGGCGTAAATTTTCTCATCAGAGTTGTAGTCATCCAAATCAGAAATATTTGCCGAATATGACCACGAGAAAGATTTGCTTCCACCCGCACGTTTGATGCGCCTCTGAGAATCGCTACCAAAAGTTCCAAAATGTTGTCGGAAGACAAAGTAGCACAAACTAATCAGAGTCCCGACTAGAATAGGTGCACCCAATACAGTAATAGTAATAGCCATCCACGAGCTTTTCTTCCCTACAACCACAAATGCTATCGCTAAGAACGCCCCACACGTGCTAATGCACGCAGCCCACATTAGTTTGTTCACAACTGAGACGACTTGTTTTTGAGCTCTCGTGTCCCAGGCAACAAGGGTAATCTGAACGACGACAACAGCTAGAGAAATGAACAAGGCCGTGGAATCAAGAAGGCAGAAAACTCGAAATGCTGTAGTGTTCGAAATAAGGGCTTTCCCAGCTTCTGGTCCATCTGTCACGTATAGACCAGGCAAGTTGAATATAGCGAGAAAAGCTATGGAGGCAAAAAGAACGGCAACCACTGTCACGGAATTTGTGGTATTTTGAACTGCTTCTCTATGAATTTTCTTAAGCTCTTTGGCAATACCAGAAACTCGTCTCTGGGTTTTCTCATTCTGTATGAGTTGGGAGTGCACTTCATGCTTAATATCACTTACAGTTCTTTTGAGTTCCATCGCTTCATCAACTTGGCCAACATGCCTGGCATACTTGGCACCAGCCTCTACTAGAGCTTCCTTGATTTCCAAAGCTGATGCTCCATATTGGAGTTTGTCGGCTATGTCCATTGCAGTTTCACGTTGATTATTTATGACATTAACATCAATAGATCTGTACATCAGCAAAAGGCTAACAATCTGAAATGCAGACGCAGTTCATTAGAGTGCTGAAAACTCATAAAGTAAGGAACTAGAAGTAGAACTCATGATGTGCATTGCATAAACTAATATAATGGCCAATTATGTTATCAATAATTTCCATCATACACCCAATTCTAGCATGTTTCCGTGTTTCTCTTTCAAGTTGATTTAGTCAGTCTTCATTTACGCAAAATCTTCTAGCATGGTTAAATTAATTAACGTGAATAATAAATAATATGCATCCCTAGACGGCAAACCACTTGATGAAGCTAACTAACCGAATAACAAGAGAGAAAAATTCAAAATAACATGTTCACATAATGATGCAGCAGAACAAATACAAACAATGAACATGCTTAAACACCCGTTGATTCTCTGGATACTGTGAATTTTAGAAAATCAAGATCTTGTTGATTCTACAAGAACATCTTGCACTGATTTTGATCAACAAATTCGATGTTTGACAACCATTACAATGAGATTTTTATTATTATTTTTTTTGGTGGGGGGGGGGGGGATGAGTTTTAAAATAGTGACTTTTGGAGAATATGTAATTAAAAAATAGAAAAAAAATTTGCATATGTTCGCAAAACATTTTATTGTAAGAATGTGCGGTTAAAAATGAGTTTGAAAAAAAAGAGTTTTATTTTAACGGAGGGGCTAAGAATACCGAATTATTGACATGAAATTGAGAGAAAAATATTAAGATTATTTTATTTAAACAAAACCGACTCTAAAACCAACACAACTGCGGCTGTTACAATAAAAATCTAATGCACATCCAATACACAATTGCAACCCAAGTCTCAAAACTCCTAACAAACAAACTATAAAATGAACTCTAAATAATGTAAATAACAATATTAATTATATTAAACCCATAAAATCAAAAAATGAGAAGGAACAAAGCTGTCACCTTCCATTGCCACATTTGGATTACATCACAATGTTACAATTTTAACTGGATAATATTTGTGCATA